CCCCTGGCACAACTTGAGGCCATTTCCTCTTGTCCTATTGCTTGTTACTTAGGAGAAGAGACTGACACCCACCTCACTACAGCCTCCTTTCAGGTAGTTGTAGAGAGCAATAAGGTCTCCTCTCAGCCTCCTCTTCTCCAGACTAAACAACCCCAGTTCCCTCAGCTGCTTCTCATAAGACTTGCACTCTAGGCCCTTCACCAGTTTCATTGCCCTTCTCTGGACTTGCTGCAGCACCTCAATGTCCTTCTTGTAGTGAGGGACCCAAAACTACAGACAGTATTCAAGGTGTGGCCTCACCAGGGCCAAGTACAGGGGTACAATCATTTCCCTAGTCCTGCTAGCCACACTATTTCTGATACAGGCCAGGATGCTGTTCTTCTCTCTGTTAAAAATGTTCTTGCTTTTTCTAAACACCTGGGAAGGAAGAGGAGTTAATAGAGAACATCTGTCATTCATTAGTGACCAGCCCAGCCGTAACCCGTGACAGGGTCTAAAGCAGCGAGACAGCAAATGACTTTATTTTCAGCATCACAATCCAAGTTACTCTTCACAGCAAATCAACAGCTGACCTCACAACATTCAGGTGACCAACAGCTCTGTCCCAATCTGGGATAAAGAATCTCAAAGTGGTGACCATAGCCAAACTCTTCACTGGCCTGCACAGAAACTCTTTAGTAGTCCTGGTGGCAGGCAGCTGGGGCCAGTGATGGGAAAGGTTACCTCCTCAATTGGAAGGCTCTGGAACCATTACAAATATCTCACATTTCAAAAATGGCAAAAATTTATTTCTCTTTCCTGCTCCATAAACACCAGCAGCATGCTTGCGGAGAGCACATATGAATGACCTCAGTCTTCCTGTACATCTTTCCACAGTTCTGTAAGTAAAAATTCTCAGCTGTTTTCTACCTGCTCCACTTATGAACAGCTCCACGAGTGATCCTTGGTTATTACAATTCACAAACATATGTGTCAGATCAGTGTGCTGGGACAACAGGGTGGCACCTGGCAGTGCAGAATTGCCAGGAACTCATGTCTCTGAACCACTGAAGGCAGTGGTACTTGGTTATAACAGGTGCACTCCTAGGAGAGGCACTAGAGAACCTTGAATCTATTTTCACAGACTCCCGCAGTATAGACAAGAGTCAGCAAGCACGGCAAGATCAATGAGACATGAACTAAGGAAAATATTGCAGTTACAGGGTGTCTTGCAGGATTCAATGTTGCAGGAGAAAATATAGAATGCAACTTCCCTCAGAGGTACTTGGCATCTGAGAACCTGAAAGCCAGAAGCTGGAAGATAAAACTTCATCAGCTTTTATGCAAAATTATGCCACACAAGAAATTTGTTGCAGCTCTTATTTAAGTGACGGAAACACAGTGAACCACGTATTGGGAGCACTGAAGGAACCTGGTTTTAGAAGCAACCAACCACTTGAAGCAGGATGGAGAACGCACAAGAGGGTTCCAAGCGCTAACAAAGAACAGCAAGTGTGCTCATGTTCAGAAATGAACTTGTTGGATCTAGTTAAATCTTTCTCAGGGGATGATGGCAGTTTATCCATGAACTTGAATGCCCTGGGGAGTCCTGCTTTCCAGTTTTCCAGAATTCAGAATGATTTGAAGGGAAAGACTTACCTGCAACAGTCAAATAAAAGCAAGCAGTCTAAAAGGAAATACTAACTAAAGTGAAAGGCAGAAAACACAGAGGAAGTGCTACCAGCTGTAACAATACAGGAAGACAGAATTAATCACACAGGAAGTTGTTCTCAATGTGCCTGGTTGCTTTGCACTCTTAGGGATTGAAGACCAGTTCCACAGTCCTGAGCCCCAGCATTAAGTATGAGAGTGCAGCTAACAGAGGCAATCAGCCCGTTTAGCAGGCAGGCTTAGCAGGCAGGTTTAGTAGGCAGGCTTAGCAGTTTGTGAAGCAGTTTCCAACCTTTGCTTTCAGCAGCAAAGTACAAGCAATCTAGGAGGTTTCTGGAGTGCCTTGATGATAACTTCCTGACACAGGTTATGGAGGACCTGATGATGAGATGTGCTCTGCTGTAGCTCACACTTACAAATGAGGAAGAACTGGTTTGGGATGTAAAGGCTGGGGGCTGAGAGATTTAGAACTGTTCAGCCTGGAGAAGAGAAGGTTCGTGCTCATCAACTGCCTGAGCGTAACACTTCCATTCAATATTCCCACTCAGCAGAGTGAAGATGCAGGCTCCAGCATTCACACTCATTCCAAAAATCCTCTGTGTTCTTATCAGGTCACTGCTGGTCTCTCAGTTTTACTCAGCATAAGTTTTTTTTCCATCAGACAGTTGATGCTTCAGTTTCAGAAATTTGAGGACAATGTTTCTCATTCATGTGGAAGATTGTTCCAGCTCTGGTGGACTTCTGCCTTCTGGTGGATTACAATACATGCATCATCGTTCACGTTAGTCAGTTCCCTGGGAATCCAGAACTGGAGACATGTCACCCTCTAGCATGGCCTTGTCAAGCATTGCAGGGAAAGGTCAGGTCCAGGATCTAGGGGTCCAGGGCTCAGAGGGACTTGGAGATGGACTGATGCTGATTCATTCAGAAATGCATGGATGAATCACCCCTGTCCTCCTACTCTGCTAATCCCACTGCCATCAGTCCTACATGGAAACCTGCCTTCTTCCTACAGTCAAGGCAAGAAGGCAATGTTCAGACCTGGCAGGCGGTGCTGCTCACCACAGCTCACCCCAGGCTCTCCACACCCAGAAGAGGGAACTGCTGGTCAGCTCTGTCATTCAAGGGCTGTGCACCTTCAGCTAGCTTTACCACTGCAGGCTTAACCTTCCCTCTGTTGGTTTGGCTCTTTTCTGGAGGAGGGAGGAAAGGAAATCTGCTTCTTGTTATTCTTGCATGCTAAGAATTATTGCAAAGTGAGGGCTAAAGGGAAGTCCTGCACAGCAATGAAGACAATTCAATAAACAATGCACTTCTTGAAGGGACCTCATGTGCAGCAGTAGCCCTCCCCCTTCCTGCCTCTTCTGCAGCATGGTCTGGGCTGGCCAGGTATGCTTTTACAGGGACCACTGAGGTGTTGTCCTCCGAGGAAGGCTGCTGCATCAGGTGACCTGGGATCAGCTCTGAGTTGTGAAGAGGACTTCTTCCTCGAGGTAGCACTGTCATTTTGCTGCTGGGGACAGCTCCTCATACTTGGTCAAGCATGGCCTGGCCTTGGTGAGACTCCTGGCACAATCTCCTGTTACTCTCTGGGGCAAGACTTCCAGACGTGGAAACAAATACTCATACTTTCCCTAGAACTGGTTTCCTGTGCCCAGTCCCGTCTAGAGCTTTGGCTGTGTGCAACGGAACTCTGTAGCCAGGTTGTCTCTGAGGGGTTTACTCTCACTGGGTGGATGCAACTTCTGCAGTAGTTGTGTAAGGTTGTATCCTGGCACAGCAACATCTTTCGATCCTGTCTTGCCCCCCAAAAAATACCCTACATACTGTGGGAGGAGATAAGGTCCCTGTAGTGCACATAGGGAAGTGGCTGGGGAAGGTGGTGTTGTCCTCCCATGGGAGTGAGTCCAGAGGAGCGCCACGAAGATGATCAGAGGGCTGGAGCACATCTCCTGTAAAGACAGGCTGAAAGACTCGGGGTTGTTTAGCCTGGAGATTAGAAGGTTCCAGAGGGACCTTATAGCAACATTCCAGTACCTAAAGGGAGCCTACAAGAAAGCTGGAGAGGGACTTTTTACAAGGGCATGTAGTGATAGGATGAGTGGTAATGGCTTTAAACTGGAAGAGGGTAGATTGGGATTAGATATAAGGAAGAAATTCTTTACTGTGACGGTGGTGAGGCACTGGAACAGGTTTCCCAAAGAAGTTGTGGATGACACCTCCCTGGAAGTGTTCAAGGCCAGGTTGGGTGGGTCTTTGAGGAACCTGATCTAGTGGAAGGTGTCCCTGCGCATGGCAGGGAGGTGGGGACTAGATGATCTTTAAGGTCCCTTCCAACCCAAACCATTCTGTGTTTCTATGATTATACAAAACACCTGCAGCTTAGATAGGGAAGGAGAAAGAGAGATAGACACACAGCACTGAGCCTTTTTCATTGGTCTAATACTGTATTTTCTCTCATATAAGAACTGAGTATTTGTTCAGCAAAACCAGTGCAGCTAGAGGATATTCTCTGTATGACTCAACAAAAAGCAGTACATCTGCTCAAGAAGACAAAGGTTTTTTTGTTCCTCCAAAATGGTCTTAATCTGTCTCCAGACGGGAGCGAGGTTAGCTGCTTCCTTCAAGCCAGTGCTGACCGAGTCCCACAAGACCTGACCCATATCGGCCCATATTCCAGATTCAAAGACGTCATTTGGGGTTTTGAAAAATCTTCGTCTTTGTCCCCAGTGCAACAATTCAGTCACAGTTTGTTTATCAATCTTCACATCTCTCTTAGAGAGTATATGTAGTAGTATCTCCCAAACCTTTTCTCCCTCTTAGAGGAATTTTTATTCTTCCCGGTCACCCACCTGTAATTTCCCAGGTGATTCGTGTGCATACTTCCCATCTCTCGGACGCCTGGAGAAGATCATCTTCTCCCCCCTGACCAGCCCCTTGCCTTCCTCCGATGTGCGATCAAGACTCCTTAATTGGTATCACGTCAGGGTTACCAATTGTAGTCGTGCAAGGATGGACTCTGCCTTCCAACCAATATGATTTCAAGCAAAAGCCATTTATTGAACGTTCGGCTGCATCTTATATACTGTTTTATTTCCGTACACGTGATCACGCATTCTGCCAAAAGGACATGTAAGCCTTGTCTTGTAGTCGACACTTTCTCGGGACTTGATTATCTTGCAGCTGCAGCTCTTCTTGCTTCTGTCTGTTCTCTCACGGGTAGACTGGAATCCTCTCAAGGTCAAAGTTGTCCTGTTCAGGGGCCTCAGTCCAGCTGAGATCCCCCACACCTGTGCTGTTCCCGGCTCACTGCTCATCTCTCAGTTTTACTCAGGATGAGAGTATCTCCATCACACTGTTACTGCTGCCGCTTCACAAATTTGATGTTGTCTCTCACAATTGACATCATTCCAGTTGTTGGGTGATTCTGTAATGCTATGGATTACAACACATTTCTGATCATCCATATTACTTGGTTTGTCTCTCTGCCAGAACCTGAGATAGAGACAGATGTTACTCTGCAGCATAAGCTGTAGAGCACTGCTGGAAAAGGCCACAGAAGGATGCAAGGCTTGGAGGGGAGAGAGAAAAATTTCAAGTGCTGATTCATGAACAGAAGCAGTACCCTTCCTCCCACTCTGATATCCCACTGACATAAGTCTTATGTGGAAACCTGCCTTCTTTCTACAGCCAACACAACAGGGCCCTGCTCAGTCCTGGTGGGAGGAGCTGCTTACCACCGCTCACCCCATGCATTTCACACCTGGCAGAGTGTCTTTCACCAGGGCAAGTTTGTCCTCCAGAAGAAGACACAGCAAGGACAGCCCTGGTGGTCTCTCCCTGTGCCCCATCTCTTCCACAGCATCATAGCACTGGCCATGCCCATGCACGTACATACACCTAGGCATGGTGGGGGCACTATGGAGGTCAGGCAAAACGGGTCATCTCTGAAGGGTTCTTCCTGCTGGCAAGATGCAGCTTCTTCTGTGCCTACAACATTGATGGCCACATCACAGGTAGTTAATTAATAACACATGGACAGGGCTGTGTGAACCTAGTGTCCTACACAGCTCTCTCCTGCTGCGTCACTGACTTTTCACAAGTTGTCTCACCTGCCTCTCATGCACCAACAGACACCCTCACATCTCCCCTACTTTCTTGCATTACCAGGAGCCACACCAAACATCCTCCATCCAGGGATACTCACATTGCCGTAGCATTAAATGGAGTCTGGTCCACCTGGTGCCACTGGCCCACCTTCTGTGCACTCAGGCCAATGTAGTAATTCTCTCCTCTTGAAAGCTATTTTACCTGCTTAGAGAGGAAAGTCTGGAAATCAAGGAGAGTGCAATGGCCATGAGGTGCAGGGCTGAGCAGAGGGAGGCAGCAGGAGTCCCCATGGTGTGGGGATGGTGGCAGAGGGTAGCCGGTGCTGAAGGGATGCAGAAAGGACAACTCCCAACCCCCCCTGCAGGACAAGGTGGGGCTCTGAGTCCCCTCCAGGGCCTGGCACTGTGTCTCTGGCTGCTCTGGTTTGACTTCTCCCTGTACAGTCTCCTTTAGGCCTTTAGCCCCAGGGAACAGGAGATGTTGCTTCTTTCCCTGGCTAGAGCTGCACTTTTATTATTACTCCATTGTTAACATTCCCTGTGCTGCTGTCCCTAAACTGTGCAATGCAATTGCTACCCTCTGCTAAGTGCAATTTGCACTTGTGTTTTCATTTAGATACATTGCTGTATCACTCTGCTAAATCAAAATCCTATGCAACATCAATTAACTTGGATAAGTAAATTTGCCATTAAAGATTAAACCTTCCATGTGTGGAACACCTAAAAGAACCTGGCCAGACAGTATCAGACTCTAACAGCCCACCCTAAACCTCCTCAACCATTTAACAGAGTACTATGAAAAGTTATCGCTTTGGGAACAAAGCAGTACAAACTTCTGGGACTCAGGATGTAATGACAACAAAAGAAAGGGCAGCGATTTATCCTGACAACATGCCTCTTCAAGAATCCATCATATTTATTGACACGTGTTTGCAGCTTTAGCAGAAAATGAAAATGAAACAGTGATCACAATCTCCACAAACAGCATATGCAAGAATAACTTTATGAATTACTCTAGTATACTGCAACTAACACTAAAAAGATGTGAGAGTTTTCACCACACAGTTAATCCTGGAGATTCCAAGACTGTGAAAAGCCATTTTTTCCTTTAGGATGCAAAGTGTGTCCGAGCACCTTAGAGAGCTCAAATGCAGATGCAGCTGCCTGTGTAGACACTTGTGTTCTCATCTCCATTTTTCTCCCCCCTCTGCTGAATGTAATTAAGTTCTTTTTGTGTGGTATGAAGGTAGAGAATTGTTCCACAGTTCCAAAGAGACCATGCAAGATGGGGATGTGCAATATGGGAACACTGTAAAGGGTAAACAGTGGAAGATTTGGGGGATGTATGCCGACATATACGAAGTCAGGGAGGAAAATTCTGAGACCTTACAGAAAGCCCAAACAACCCGGAAATTCTGAAGATGCCCATGCTTCAAAAAAGGCATTAGACTAAAGACCTCCAGAAGCCCCTTCCCACTTAACTCTTTCCGCCATTCTAAGAAAGAGGATGGGTATGGCAGAATCATCTGACATAATGCTGTGGTAGTCCTAGCTCCTGCCTACCTGTTGGCCAAGACATCTGATTTGGCTGGCCTGCAAGAGAGAAGTTTGTGTCATGTTACAACTGTACCCTTAAATCCCCAATGTTTAAATAGTCAGCAAAAATTTTGCTCCTAAACATACCTTTCAAATATTCAACATTCAGGTTTTCTGAGCCCAAATGTTGGTGCTTGTACTCTTTCTCGTGATAAAACTGTTCCTGAGTAAAAGCTCTCTTCTGGTTGGAAGATATTCCCCTCTGGGCTCTGATTTCTCTGCTTTTCTCCCAGCGCTTCCCCAGACCTCTCTCCTGTAACAGCCTGCACATACTCACCAAGGGGAGCAATAACAAGGGCTATGGACACCAAGAGGAGTAGCAGTGAGATCAGCCACGGGAGTCATGGGGGATATTTCCGGGGATGGTGCTCAAGCTTCTTCATCTCAGGACGTACTAAAAGTAAAGAAACACAGCAAACAACACCAGTCAACTATGCTTCAGTCAGTCCACATACCAAGGATGTACAACTCAAGGGACAGCTGCTCCAAAAAAATGCAATGTTGAGATCTGATTTGAAAGGTATACAGTTTGGGAGAGGGGTAGATTGGGACAGAGCAGGGGACCTCTGTGGTTTCTAGAGAAGGTCAGGTTCAGCAACAGTGTTCACAGCCCCAGTCCAGCTGGGGAGCTAGCAATGCTAATTGCTGGTGTTTGGGGGTGAGACCTTCACATGGCCTCAAAATCTGCAGTTTAACCATGTCTTTCTAGATTGAGCCCAAAGCTGCCAAATACGATATTGCTCTATCCATAATACTTAAACTTTCATATGAAGATTTCTTGTTGACTTTCTCCACAGAAAACTTTTTACACCTGCTCCAGTTCCTTCTTAGCTTTGTGGACTTTATGTGTAGAAGAAAGTTGGTGTATGCCGAATGAGGACAGGAGACAAAAAATGAGCCAAGCTGTGATGGCACAGAATCATTGGAAGATCAACAAAAGAAAAAATCCCTTTCCAGGCCAGGGTTCAGAGATTTGCTGTGGTAAAACTAGGTTGTGCTAGGTTAGATGCCTGGGGAGAAGGGAGGGTTGCGTCCAGCAGCCTGAGTAAAGTTTCCCATCAGATTCAGACTTACCAGGGCCTGACTTTTGTGTAGAGGGTATCCTACTCAGATTCAGACTTGCCAGTAGTGAGGAGGTTTGGGAGCAGGCAGGAGAATGGGTCACAGGGAAGGAGAAGCAAACACTTGTTAGAAGACTGTTCTAGGTTGTGGCAGTTACACAAGCCAGGGCAAAGAGGAAGGTAAAGAGACAGCAGCACTCACTGCAGTACAAGAGTGAAGAAGTTTCAGTGGAAACTTATCTTAGTGATAAGCTTTAGAGACCTTATTCATTATTCAGCATGAAACTCCCAAGTCTGCCAGCAGCCACGTGTGTCTGCCAGCCATGTCTAGCATGCAAGACTTCTAGAAATCTGCTGTCTGGGGAAGCCCTCTGACTACTTCCTAAAGGCTTGGGGGAGGCTGTTACAGCAGGGCAAAAAGCATCATCTTTCATTATCAGAAGAGAAAGTGTCCATAGGCAGACAAGATCCAGATTTCCCTGGCCAAATCATGTTTTTCTAGCCAGAGCTTTTGTCTGTAGTGAAAACAAGGACTCAAATCATGATCTGGAGTCCAGCCACCTGCTTTGGAAAATAGATCTGACCAGTCCAGCTGATTTTTTGATGTGCTGCATGTCCACAGATTGACTGTTCAACCTGTGCCCAGTCAGACCTGTGCATCCCACACTCACACCCAGGTGGCACAGACAGCACTGCCAGTGTGCATGCACCTCACCAAGACTGCCGAAATGCAGTAGATCTTGTGCATTCTCAGTGGGTTAGTCTCCCTGCAAAATACTTCCTATAGTTAGTCTGCATGCTTGCAACGTGTCCAGCATGATCACAACAGACCTAATGAGCATATGCTCGTTATTCAGAATGTAAACCCAACATCTCCTAGGCACATGCAACAAGTGTGGTGCAGCACAGATACCTACCTTTCTACCTGGGAAATCCTGGTTGGAAATGCAGGAACCTAACTGCACTGTGATGTGAAACCGACCCCAGTAGTCTCTGCCATCTCCTGACACAGATTACATGTCGTTTGATTAGCTGCTGTCTCCTCTCTGTCTTCCAGTGACTGACAATTTTGGCATCTCTAGAGCCCAACTGGAAGAGGCTACAAAATGGGAAAACCCAGGTGTTCTTGGCCATTACCAACATGGAGTCTGCATGGCCTGAGTAACCACTCAGAAGGACAATAGAGCAGCAAGACTCCCTCAATCATTCAATAATCTTCAATCATAACTCTCATCCTATGAGCATACCCTGAGGCTGTGAGACATTAGCACTGTGTGCCATGGTACTACTGGACACTTCTCTGAATCCAAAGTATAAGCTACAACCAGTGTGTGATCACTTGGGCAGGCGCATGCAAAGACAGACCCTGAGCACACACCCAAACCTACAGCATGAGCCTGGCATCAGCAGCTCAAGCAAACATGGCTGGATCAGCTGTCTTCGGGAACAGTGGGGATCTTCCACCACCCCCACCTCACCATAGTGGAAATGCTAGCTGTAACAATAACCAGATAATCTTGGTACATCGAAAACAGTGACCTTTCAAGTCAGTCAGGAGTATGTACATTCTTTATTTCCATGACTCATGTCTCAGAGCAAGCAAGGAATAACCTGGAGCTGATGCGTGCTCTGTTTGTGACTGTAAAACTGAGGTAAAGCTGTAAATAGGCAAGTTAATATCCTGAGCAGCAATAATAATTTATTCATTTATACACACATACTTTCATCCCTCTGGAACCTGCTGTTGTGTAGGGTCCTGTATCTACAGGCGGAAGCAATGAGCTATACATAGAACATCTCTACGCATTCCTACTTGTGGCATAATGGCTGCAGAACACATATTGATCAGAACACACCTTAAACTTGCACAAAGCCTGGTAAACGTACCGTTTTGCAACCGTGACTTTTAATAGAAATAAAAATTTGTTTGTTTAGTGTGTTAATTATTTTTCAGAAATGGTAGAATCAATCACAGAATTTGATCTTCCTCCAGATCTTAAACAATTCTTCCTCTGTGTATTTTAGGGTGTGTTGTTCAAAAGCCCGTTCTTCCTTTTAACTTTTGGGTCTCTTCTCTGAGGACCATTTCTCAATCAACCAAGGACAATGGGGCTGTAAGTTTCTGCAGCCAGTGTCACCTCTCACAAAGCTGCAGAGGGCAACTGAGTGCTCTGCTGTAAGAGGAGGCATGTTGGTTCTCTGTTCCTGCTCTCTGCATAAGCAGGAATCTGTAGGCTCACTCTCAGAGGTAAGAGCAGTAGCAACCAGGGCTTGGGCTTATTTTTGCCATTTGCTGCCCTGGGAGCCCCTCCACCCTTGTGACAGATCAGATTGTTCATAATAAACCATAGTATCTATTGTTGGTACTTAGTATTTGTCCAAAAATTACTCTCTCATCCAAGACTATATAACATGTAAGGAGGCAGCTACTACCTGCTTTGTACTATGGCTAAGCACTATTACTGTACAGCACCCATCCTGGACCCTCTACCATTCACCACAGCTGGTGTTGCAACCAGGGGACTAGGGAGTCCAAATACATTCCCTACTGAATGCTCACTTGAAACCTACCGTTTGTGTTCCCAGTAGTCATCCTTGTTCATGCTGCAACTCCAATCACCTAAAGATTCCCACATCTCCTCTTGTAGACATTCCTCAACCCTCTTACTTCAAAACTCCTCCAGTCTCCTGCTCATGCAGTGGTAGACGACTCCTTTCTCACCAATTTGACAAGACCAGGTAGGAACCAGTCACAGATGGAAAAGTCCCTGTTCTTCAGCCCCCCTCCTTCCAGGTCCTTTCCCCCTGAATAACCAATCCATTCCTTACCTTTCACCACAGCAGCTGGTGATGTATTCTTGAACTTCACCTCAGCGTAGGTGATTTCTGATGCCATTTAATCTCAGTGTAGTCACTGGTTCTGACCTTAGTTTTGCCTTTTAGGTCCGTGGCTCCAGAGGGAGATGCCAATAAGTTACTGGGCCTTTCCCATCCGTTCATTCACCCTCTGTCTAAGAAAGCTGTGCTGAACACTGGAAGCACCAGTGATAACCTCAGAATTCCTGGGAGCTCAGAAATTCTCTGAACAGATCTTAGCCCAGGAAATAAGCCCTGGCACTACTAAAACTTCTGAGAAAGAAAACAAAAATGGGAACTTAATAGCTGAAAATTAAGTTGTATTCTTCCTTCCCCATACCAGATTCTCAGCTGATCTTTTTTTAAGATATCTTGTTTTTTACTTTTTTGTGGTCATTGGATATCTGGCGGGGTTTTGGTAGTGGGGGAGAAGGCCACAGAGGTGGCTCCTTAGAAGCCTGTAAGAGGCTTCCAGAAGCTCCCCCTGCTCCAATTTCGGACCCACCCCTGGGCAAGGCCAGGCCAATGGCGCCTCTGCAAACAACTATTTAAGAGTGAAAGAAGCGTTGACTGGGGCTTTTGTTTTGCCTGTCTGTGTTGGTGAGTGGGTGAGCGAAGGGGGAT